GCCGAGCAGGGAGCCCGATGCGGGACTCGATCCCGGGACTCCAGGATCATGACCTGAGCCGAAGGCAGTCGCCCAACCAACTGAGCCACCCAGGCGCCCCCAGGTGTAGCTTTATTGAGAGAAACCTCTCCCACTGCCTCAGGGACCGAATCTTCAAGTCAGCTCCATCAATTAGGTTTTCTCTGTACTCCAGGCTCCTAAGAATTAGTCTCTGATCTCAGAAGGAAAGATGCAAAGCTAATTGGGTCTTTAAATGATTAATAATTACTCAATCCATAAAGCTCTAGGAGCCTGGTCCCCCTGGTGTGTGCAATACGGCAAGACGCTTTGGGGTATGGGGTCATCCCAAACTAGTTTCTTCCCGTGGGGCACCAGCGAAAGGCATCAGTGAAAGACACAGCCAACCAACCGGCGACCAGCATTTCATGACGACCTGCATGTGATTAATTTATACAGCACAATGTGGCACCGTGGAGATTTGTGGGAGCCTCTCCTCCCGGGGAGGTGATGACGGCAGACCCCTCATAATTAGTCCTCCTCTGTGATACCAATTACGTAAGCCCAGTTCAACCTCATGGGGGGGAGCGAGGCTCACTCTGACACGGGACATTTATGCACCTGGCACCGTTCCAGTCATGGAGAGCTCAGCAGCAAACAGACATATGTAGTGGGTCCGAGGGTCACAGAATGTGGTCAAAGATAAAGCAGGATACAAGAGAAACTTCCTGGCCCCGGGTGTGGGGAGGCTGCTCCTGATGAAGGAGTCACGGCCCTTCTTGCGAGATGGTGAGGGAGGAAGAGGAGCTGTGATTTACTGAGTACCCACCCAAAGCTGGGTTCCAGGCCAGGCTTCTACAAACGCTGGTTCGGTCAAACCTCAAAACAGCCCTATAGGGTCACGACGACATGTCCAGCTCGCGGTCAGGAAAACCGAGGTTGAGACACGGTGGCTACTTGCCCAAAGTCAGGAAGAGCTGGAGCGGGGTGTCCAGTCCAGCCTGGCTGGTGGGCGGCACCTCCCGAGGACCTGCTGGCCCCCGTGGCCCTGCCAGGACTCTGCTTTCTCCAGGGCTGTCCTGGGGGTGAGGGGACATGCATCCAGCCAGGCTGGCACAGAGGAGGGCGCTGAAACTCGCCACAAACACAGTGAGAGCAGGCCAATGAACGAACCGTCTGCTTCTGCAAAGCCCACTTCTAATGCCCCTAATTTCTATATTTAACAAAGTAGCTTTTAACTCAAGTGGGGAGGCAGGGGAAGTAGGCTTTCAGACTCCTCTGAAGGACACTGTTTAGCTGTAAGTACCTCTCAGTCACTTCTGCAATATGAGATTCTTTTTCCTTTTTTTTTTTTTTGTCATCTGAGTAAATCACGGAAATGTTACCAAGCTTGATTTGGAAGTTCTCTGAGAAGCACGAGTGCCCTGCAATCGTGACTTATGACCATTATCATTACTGTTGTCATTACTGATGTTGTAGGGTTTTAAGACCTATTCGGATCTAGAGAGAGGCCACACTATAACCTACCGCTTCCTCAATTCATTCAGATTTGCAGGAGTAGAGTGTTTATTACACTCAATTCACAAGGAACCAGTCTTCCAAACCAGTTCTGCAACCCAGTGTACCTAAATTGGTCTGAATCACAAATCTGCAAATATTTCTATATTTAGAGATGAGGTGTTTTACCATTACAGAAAGCCTGTTATTTTATAGATACAGCAACATTTGCTGAAAAATGTATTTTACTCAGAGGAAATCAAATAAGCAAATAGAAGGGAAGATATGTAAATCAGTAGAACATAAAAATTGTGCAGAATAAAAAGCATGCACTGTATTAGAAGCATGCAATTTGGCTTCTGCTGACAGAGTCTTTATGAAATGCTAACATTTATTGATTTGATACCAATGATGGATGATCTAAGAGTTCTCAAAGGTAGTTTTAAAAATGTGAATAGCACAGTGGATTATGTGAATTTGCTGGTCATGTACTCCAATATTATCAAAATTAAAAAAAGAAATCCCCAACATGACAGAAGGAGGAAAGACAGGAGGCAGAAAGAGACGAATGGGGGTTTGGGTGCCGGGGGCCCGGGATCTCCCCAGTGGGATCTGAGCCTGTGTGCTTAGGAGGAACAGCCTGGGGTGTGTGAGCCTCGAGGGAAGAGCCAATCAGAAGGAGGACCAGCCAATGGCCAGTAACCTACACACATTTATCCATTCATGGGCATGTCCACCAACCAACATATATTTAGCGAGCCCCTCTGGGGTCCCAGAGCACCACCAGGCACTCAAAATGCAAAGCCGTGCCATCCAGGTGCATCTGCTTCAGTGGGGCAGGTATGGTGAAAACAGGCATTTCCACCCGGGACGACCAGGGCTCTGAAAGAGGGTCCACGCAAAGGCCGGGAGGCTGTGAGACACCTGGTGTCCTGACCCAGGGGTGACCCTGTGGCCGAGCTCTAGAGGAGGCACGAGCCCTTCAGGGGGGATGGCAGAAGACAAGAGGCCCAGCTGTGGAGGCAGCAGCAGGCTGAGGTCCTGGGCAGAAGGCTAGGTGAGCGAGGAGGGGAGGGCAGAGAGAGCCCGGGGTCAGCAGGTGCAGTGGCTAGGGGTGGGGCACGGAGACCCGGCACATCACACACACTCAGGAAGCCTGCGGGCCGTCTGTAGAGCCCACCATGATAGGGTGCCAACGGAGGAAAGGAGGGAAACGGAGAGGAGGAGGAGGATGAAAACCAAGTATCAAACCTTCTAAACCAAGAGCAAAAAGTTGTAATTTCGAGGATCTAACAAAACCCCAGCGTAAGGCCATGGCCTCTGACGGCTGGCTGGGGACCCACTGTTGTGCCGGTCACTTGGAGTCGGGACAGCTGACCGTACTGCTGCAGATAATGGGGGGGCAGTTAAGGCTACACGGTGGCAACACTCACATCACCTCCAGCCGGGCCGTTCTGGAGTCGTTCCCGCCTTCGGACACGATTTCACAGGTGTAGTCTCCGATGTCACCCGACCACGTCTGGCTAATGAGGAGGGACCCGTCCTTCTCCACCACGACCCTGGAACTGCTGGACGGGGTGATGACTGCGTTGTCCTTCTTCCAGACGTAGCTGTGGGCCAAGCGGGGAGTCACAAGTTAGGAAAGATCTCCAGTTAAGATCCAGCCAAGAGTCTGGAGTTAGGATCTGGGCCGCAGGCAACTGACCGCCTTGTGAATGGACCAGAAGCCACAGAACCGTGCTCTTTAAATGGGTTAATTTTATGACATGTGAATATATCTAAAAGAAAGGAAAAAGAAAAGCAACCAGCTATCTTGGTCACAGTACAACCACAGATGCTAAAGTCAAAAACGGGCCAGTGAAGACCACGGAGAACACTGATCTTGTCTTTGGGTTTAGAGACGGGAAGTCTGTCGTGTCATGATCACACCCGTCATTTCCTAAAACTACTTCACCTTCCCGCCCAGGAGTGCGCCTGGAGGAGGGCAGTGTTGACTGGATAGGAGGCAATGACTGTCCGAAAACTCCTCAGATGGGAACCACCCAAATTCTAGAAAAAGGCAGATCATACCCCATAAGCGTGTTTTCTTAACATTCAACTGTTCCGGCAGATTGTCCTTAAAACTGCCTTTCTTTCTCATTTAATTCTTTATGACCACTGTAGCACGTTTTTCTTTTCGAATGTAGAAGCAATTAAGAGCCTGCCCAGCGTCTGGCTGTCAGTGGACAGGGGGCCACGACTCACTGCTAGGTGGAATCAAAGTGCTGGCTTTCCTTTCCAAAATCATTTGCCTGGACTTGCAAAACGTACCCAGTTCTTTAAAGGTTTAATATGCACAGAGCACAGACATTAATAAACTGCTTATCTGAAACTACCCTGAGACAGAATAGACCTGGTCCCCCAAGAAGGAAATGACTCGGGGGTACAACATGCACCTGCAGATTGTCCCTTAGGGCGCTTAGGTGCTCTTGGAGCAGAGAAACCCGGGGACAAGGGGTGCCCCAAGAGTGAGCAACTGAAGTCCTCCTTGGGAAGGAGGCTCCAATTTTGTCTGTTTAATCACACATAAGAAGCTCTGGGAAACCCACAAAGATCCAGAGGGATTCTGTGTGAGCTCGTAGAGTAGCAGAAAACCAGCCTATCTGTCCTTCTTTGTCTCTGGAATCCTACTCCCAAACCATTTAGAGATGAGCGGGTTCTTTTCTGGGCATGACAACTCTCTCTAAGACAGCCTCCATGGAGTCTCTAGGTAATCTTGAACCGTTAGTTTTTGTTTGTTGGTTTTGCATCTGACATTCTTATAACTAAACCAAACTTGGCTTTTCAGCTCTGAGGAACTCCAGAGAGCCAGGTGGAGGCACAGAACTTCATGATTTGCCAAACACCTGCCCAAGAAGAGTGAGAAAGCAGCTCAGTCTTGGGATCCAGTTAATAATGTACGTGGCAGTGGGGCACCTGGGTGGCTCAGTCGTTAGGCGTCTGCCTTCGGCTCGGGTCACGATCCCGGGGTCCTGGGATCGAGCCCCGCATCGGGCTCCCTGCTCGGCAGGAAGCCTGCTTCTCCCTCTCCCACTGCCCCTGCTTGTGTTCCCTCTCTCGCTGTGTCTCTCTCTGTCGAATAAATAAAAATAAAATCTTTAAAAAAAAAAACATGTACGTAGCAGCAACCATGTCCCTCTGCCCAGAGTGAGATGTTCCAGAAAGGAGGAAGGCATCTCGATTCTATCCATTTGGCTAAGCACGTGCCTTCTGGGCTAAGGCCAGAGAGACAACTCTAGGATGACTGTATCTGTCTTTCTAGATTTATTTTCCAGGCGGATTCTGAAAATTAAAAACAGTTCTGAAAGTGGCAGCTCTTTGGGAAGAAGCTCACCACCCACGATCACCTGCGTCAGCTGCCATGCATTTCCCTGGAGGGTCATGTATTTCATCGTTACCTTCCCATCTGAACTCAGACAAAGACGGGATATTACGATTCCTTTAGTGGAGCTTCAAGGCATCTAGTCCCTTCTATACAAGTATTGTCCTGTATATGCACCAGGTGACTGTGGTTGTCTATCTTCTGGGTATGGGTCTCTTTTGCTCCCCATTTCACAATGACACCATGCCAGAGCAGAGAAAACCCTTCTCGAGTATCGCACGGCCCAGCATAAACACTACTGAAATCCTATTCGATCCCTCCGGATTTTTCTCTCATTAAGTGTCAGCTTCTGACAAGTACGTTTTACAGATAGTGTATTAACCTTGGCAGAAAAATCATGAAAAGCTGTACCGAAGTCATGAACTGGAACATAGCTCACAGTAAATAATACATAAGGCTGGAGTGGAAAATGGGATTTGTGTGATTAATGATGGAGCCCAAGACCGTGAGATGCCGTAATCAGGGATTTGTGGCTGAAATCAAAGCTCCCCAAATTCTCCCTTCTCATCTCCACTTCAGTTCCTAAGCTCCCAGGATATGAACGAGCCCCAGACATTGTAAGTGACAGAGCTGACCGGAGGGCAATCCGGGGGTCGTGAGTGGCTCCGCAGCGCAGCGTGGCCGTGGTCCCCTTAATCACCACGCGGTCCTCCGGAGGGTTAACGATGGACGTGCGATCTGTGGAGACACAAGGCACAGCTCAGACAAAGTTACATGCTCCAGAGTTTCCTCCTTTGAGGAGGGAGGGATTGGTCATCTGACATCAAAACCTCCAAGGTTTCTCTCATCTTGGCAAAGCAAGCATAAATGGAAGCGCTTAGAAATGCTCAGGGAACTGGAAGCAAGCCTTCCCAGGCCGCAGCCACGGTCCTCGGGCCTGCCCTCCCCGCAAGGGCCACTCCCGAACCTCTAAACACTTGGGAAGACATCGAGAATGAAGATCGTGTGCAGAGGTTTATGAGGTTCTGCAGTCTTAGGGGAAAATCTTGGTTCTTTCCCAAGATCATTAACATTCTGGTCATTTCTGCTGTCTGCACAGCACTTCATGACTTTGCAAAGTGCTTCCATTTATATTGTTTTATTTAATGCTCACAACAACCTTGGGAGGGCTGTGAGAGCACCACTCCCAGGTTTCAGGACTAGAAGGTGGAGCTCAAGAGGCGTGGTGGTCGCCTGACCTGGGGCGCGGGTCAGGGTGGGGCCTGGTGCTCCCAGCAGCCGCCACAGCCAAGGCCCTGGCAAAAGCCCTGTGGTGGGGTCCCCCCCGCTCCGCTGCACACCTCTGAGGTGGATGCTGCTCTGGTCCCACTAACAGAGCCCAAAACGTGGGAGTCATAAGACTAGGTTGGCGCCCCGCCTGACTGCTTGTGGCCGAGTGTCCAGGAAAACATGCGAGCTCATTGTCTGCGGAAGGGGAGGCAGGCCACACGAGCATAGTTTGAATCTTAGCAAATCTACGGAACTTTTGGTGAGTGACCTACAGAGATGCAGACATCAATTCTTCACAAGCTATTAAATATAAAGTTGACATGTTAGGGACATATGACCAATCGGAAGTGGGTGGACACAGTGGGCCACGAAATGAGACAAAACTTCTTTTTCAGTACCTGACAATCAATATGGGGGCGATTGAATTCATTCCTTTTTAAAACTCCTGGTGTTTTTAGAATACCTAATAAATTAGTAAGGTCATTGATCAAAGTGGACACAAACTATATCACAGAGCCAAACAGACATGAAATAAAGCACGATAATTCAGTTTCTCTTCCAGGATAGTATTTTAACAAATTCGTCACTGAGGCAAATTGAAATTTTCTCTCTTCATCTAGATAAGCTTTACAAAAATCGGTGAGCACTATCTTTTGCTTTTATGAACGATTTCTATTCATTTATTATTATTATTTTTAGTAATACAGCTATGGATAAAGCAGAGAGGAAAAAGTATGCCAGCAAGTGAAGCTAAAAGGTTTGGGGGGTGGGGGTGGGCAGAGATATTTGGTAATGAATCCTTATGTCTGGAAAACAACCGGTTCTCTGTTTTCAAAAACTTTTCTAGATAAAGAAATAAAAGTTGTAGAAATAACAGAGATCTTTCCTCAGTTCACTCCTAACATGAAAAACACTCATATTTAAAATACTAGGAGTGGTTTAGTTGGTTATAATGATATTATAGAAAAAACATACTTTCTCTAAAACGTTAACTCTTGATTCGGTTCCCTTCCACGAAGATTTCAAAATTAACCGTCCTACTGGTTTTGTCGTTTGGGCTAATATCCTCTACGCCACTGACTGTAAAAAGTCCCTCTTTTCTCTCTCCTGAAACGTCCCCATAAACCTTTGAATACAGTTTCTAATTATGCTTTTAGAAGCTGAAAAATTAATTACTCAACAGATTTCTATAAATTAGTTGTAAAAATAATCATTCTCTTATGATTCAATTAGAGAGTCCAAGGGCATATTGACATCCCTAAGCACAGCTGACATGGTGATTAAACTGTGATTAACAGAAGGTTCCACATGGCCTGCGGTCCTTACTCCACACGGTCAGCACTGCGGACGCGTTCAGGGACCCCTCCGTGTTGGCTGCGTAGCAGGTGTAGTTGCCAGCATCCTGGATGAAGACGGGGGCAATCTGTAGACCCCCAGACTCCAGAAGCATGAACCTAGGAATCCGCACGGAGCCACTGGCCAAAATATGCTTTCCTGAAGAAAAGTCGAGAAAGGAGTGTTAGCACCAAGAAAATAACTCGAAACAATCATAATAAAGTGGAAACCATACGTACAACAATAACCAAAGCAGTTCCCTTCAGCATTAGTTAGGATAATGGAGACCAAGAAAATCTTAATTGTCCAAAATTGAGAAACTTGGTTAAACAAATTATGATCCATATGGGCGACTGTTACCTTTGGGTGACTGGTTCTGAGTTTCCTTTACATCTGTATGCACTCGAAGATTTTCTATATAAAGCTATCACTACATTCTGAATCCGGAGACAGAGTATATGTAAGATAGAAGAACGCCCTCTTGCTTACTGGCCTGGAGTTCCTCAGACCTCCATGTTGAAGAGCTACGGTCTGAGGGTGGGAACCACACCGTTCGGCACGTATTTCCTAAGGAGGGACCGTGTGTGCGGTTCATTTACCGACACACGTGCCTACGTGAGGGAAGGGATGGAACTACAGAGAAAGCCTGTGGCATGATGCCACTCCTCACGGGGACTGCAAACAGGTGACACCGAGAGCGTCCCGTGTGTCAAACGAGCCAGAAGCATCCTTCTCTCTCCGTTTCCCATTTTGTGAGCTTCATCCCTTCTCTGCCACTCTGCTGAGGAACACAGCGAAGGCCCATGGCATAACCCAGGCTTTGGTTTCTCTGCCTTTTTTTTTATTATTATGTTACATTAGTCACCATACAGCACATCATTAGTTTTTGATGTAGTGATCCACGATTCACTGTTTGTGTAGGACACCCAGTGCTCCGTGCAGATCGAAGTCTCGCTGGCACGCATATCCTGTCAGTTTCAGGTGTGCATCCTTGCACCCTTCTTTCTTAAAAGAACAAGGATATTATTCTTAATTTGTAACAGGACCTCCGTTTCACAAGTGGGGACACTGGGCCCTGGCGGCATTTCTCTGGATCCACTACCTGGTATTTTGGGGGAGCCCCTTCACAAGCCTGAGGCGCCCTATGAAGGGCTGAGGCAGAAAACAGGGGTAGTCACACGTTTTAAAACACGGCTGTTTCTTCGAGTGGAGGCAGGCTCCGGGAAGCTCCTGGGGGCCTTGGCCGCCTTGCTCACGCCGGTAGCTCCGGCATCTGGTGCCTGGCAGGTGCCCCACAGAGGGCTGCCAGTCTTCACTGAAGGAGCCAAAGAGGGCGGGAATGAAAACGCACAAGGCTTGGCCCGACGCGCTCACCTCCCGTTGTTGGCCAGACTGCACCTACCTCTCCTCCACGTGATGGCGGGCTTGGGGGCTCCAGACACCTCGCACCTCAGGACAGCCATCATCCCATCGGTGACCGTGGTGTCCACCGGAAGCTGGGTAAACGCTGGTACAACATCTAAGCAGGAGCGAACAGCGAGATGCTGTATGCTGCCCCTCAGACGCGCTCAGACCCGCCTGCTGGGGTGGCCCAAATGCACTTTTATGGGACTAATCACAGAGATAACTCTAGCAATAAAGGAGGAAAACCTTTCAGGAGTGACTATAACCTTCCCTTATTTGTCCCCCAGGAGCTGCCTATCTGTGTTTACAACCCGAAGAGAAATCCAGTCTCGTGATGGAATGGACACGCAAGTGGGCAAGTGCAGGAGCCTGGGAGTGGCTGTTTCAGGTGAACGTTAATGAGGGGGAGACATTTATTCAGATAAATCTAACAAGCTCGTCTTCAGCACTTTCTAAAAAATAGAAAAAGCTGATTTTTGAGTATTAAATATTACCCAAAGGATGACACTTCCACAAAATAACCGATTTCAAGCATGTCAGTGAGGGATTTCCAGGAAGTGCCGGGGGCCCAAGTGTTGGGGGGTCTTCTTGTCCTTGGGGGACGGCATGGGCCTCCAGCTCCCGAGACTCTGAATCAGACCGAGACAGTCAGGGGTAGCTCAGGCTGGCTCAGCGAGGCTCATGCGACTTTTTCTACTCTGATAATGATTAAACTGGAAACCCCTGAAGAACGGGGATCTGCATGCCCCCCAGTCCCATGAGGCCCCTGGGGAGCCTGGGCTGGGGTTCCCCGGACAAGTGGATGGGCCTCGGGACCACAGCACTGCTGGTACCTCTCCTTGCACCAGGTGGGAATCCCCACAAACCACTTAAGTCCCGTGGACGCTGCCCCCAAAGCAAATCCCAGAGCCCCCTGCTTCCCTCCACCTCTGGGGCCCCCACACGGACAGTACGTTGGCCTCCTGCCGGGTCCCAAGCCTTCCACTCTTCCCTGCATTGGCCATTCTACACGCAGCTTTGGGTACCCTGTGGAAGCTATGAAGCACACCCCGCCACTCCCTGCCAAAACCCCATGAAATCCTCCCACTGGCTCCTGGGCCTTTGCCCTACTTGTCCCTCCAACCCATCTCCTGGCGTGACCCCTGGTTCCTCACCAGACAGCGTCCCCACTGTCTCCTTGCTCCCTGCACACACACCTCCCCAAGCTTGTCCCTGGAAGGCACCTGCAGCAACCCCTCCCTCACCCCGTAACACCCACATCCCCCAAGACTTTGCACCTTTGGGCCTCAGCTCCGGTAGCATCTCAGGGAACGCTCCCTGACCACCCACAGAGAGGCCTCCCTGGTCACCCTGGGCCCTGCTTGTTCGCTCGGTTCCTGGCCCTCACCCCTGGCTAAATTATGCCCTCCTCTGCCGTCTGTCTCCCCACCTCACGACCTCTGTCCTGGAGGCACGAGAACCTCACATGTCTTCCTCAGAGCTGTCCCCAAGCCTGGCAGACCCCAGTGCCTGACACAGATGCTGTGTAAATGTTTGTTAAATTCATGAACTAATATAACACTGTGTGTTAACTATACTGGAATTAAAATAAAGTTTAAAAAAAAAGTGTGCTCATCTGTGGCCCACAGCCTCCTGGCTGACTTGTAAGATACACTTTAAATAATTCTAATTAATCGAAACTCAGTTTCCGGCATAAGTACCCAATATTATTCCCGCTGTTTGAGGCGATACTGGTTTCCTATGCTCCAAACCAGAGGCTAAATTTGACCCTTGCACAAGGTTCAAGGGCGTGACCCCTACTTTACCAAAATACATTCAATCCTTAAATTTGTAAGTTCAGGCAGACGAGAGCCATCTGCCTACGGACATGATTTGCTTTCTCAAATGGCTCTCACACCTGAGGATATCAGCATTTGGCTTCCAAAAGGGCAAACACGAAAGGTATAATTCCATAATCACTAAATTCCACTTCATTTTAGAAGAACAATATTACAACTGTGGAAATGAAAAAGAAAACCCACAGATGCAGTGGAAACCTGTACCTTCATTTTATTTTTCAAAGACAGAGTGCCAAAGTATTTCTGCTAATGGGATAATAAAAGAAACTTATAGAAGAACTATAATTGTTCAATAAAACTAAAATAGAAAATGAATATTAAAAAATGGGAAAAAGATCAAAAGAAAAAGATTAGGAACGAGCTATTCACTGAACAGTCCTTCCAGTTCTGTCCAGAAAAATGGAGATTTTTTTTCCCCCCTGCTTCTCAGTAGAGAGGAGGGCGCGAGGCTTGCCTGAGAGCAGGTGGGGCGCCAGGGCGTGGGGACAATGGGGCATATTTGCTGCCCAGGGGCTTAGCACGCGGGTTCCTGTCGGCCGGAGAGGTGGCTCTCCGCAGTGCGTCACCACAGACCCCTGTGCCCTGTCCGTTTGCCGAACAGATGCTACCATTTTCTGAGTGTGTCACACACACAAAGGGTGCGAAGCTCTGGCCGAGGGCCCAGCCCAGGGGTCTGGCTCTGAGGGGCAGCACTCACTGGTCACGTCCAGGTAGGTGTAGGTCTGGATCTCCCCTCCTTCATTACTGGCAAAGCACTGGAAGATCCCGGAGTCCTCGGGACGCAGCTTCTGGATGCGCAGGCCTCCGCTTGAGAGCATCTTGTATCGAGGATTCTGGAGCTTGCTGATGGAGATGGCGTCCTTGTACCACTGGAGGGTGGGAAGAGGAACCCCTGTGCAGGAGTGGAGATAATCGGGCATTTGAAAAAATTAAATTGTGAGCACCTTCTGCGCAGGCTGAGGCAAACATGTCTGAGAGGCTACGAGGCGATACTTTAGTGGCATTTTTCATCGAGGAGTCCCTTCATCCACCCTGGACGGTGTTATTTTCTCATCTCTGTGAAGACATGGACACAGAGAAGCAGCAAGAGGGAGAGCAGGAATGAACTCCTAATGCCGGGCTGCAGATCGTTCTGGACCCCCGAGCCGGCACACGCTTGTGCTCTGGTCTGGGGAGAAAGGGATTCCAGCCGTGACCATGACCGACCTGGGGACAGACAGGGATGGGGAGGAAGGTCCCTGCGGCCCTGCAGTACCTGACTCTGCCATTGAGGCTCGGGATAGGGCCACCAGGGCAGGAGATACATTTGGAAGGAAGTTGTCACTGCAACCTCAAAATGCTGTTGGGAAGATTAACCACATCAGCGTCCACAAATCTCCCAGTGCCCGGCACATGGCCAGCGCTCACTGGCTAGAATGACCACGATTACAACCACAAGAAGAAGGCGTCCCACCTTTGCAGCCGTCCCCTGCCAAGGGGGCTGGACATCAGTGATCTAAGTGGACGTCCTCCACGGTGGAGGATGGCTGCAGTTGAGTAAGCACCCGCAATTCATGTGGGTGAGGCTGAGGAGACATGAGGGGCATTCAACTGTGGACGTGGGAAAAGACAAATGGGAGTCCAGCAGGTGACGAGCAGGGGCTGCTGGATGGCGCCATCCTTGTCCTTAGGAGCTGATGGCACTCAGAGCAAGGCCAGCACCTGGACCAGGAGGATGGAGGGTCAGACTGAGGCTGGGTATGCCTTCCTCATCCTAATGACGTTATGGTGAAAACGCAGGCCTCGGTCAGTGGGAGCAGCTGATGGAGGGTGAGGCTGGGTTTGGGAGGGAAGATGCAGGGGACAAAGGACAAGCTCATAGGGGCAGAACCTGGGTTGTGAATGGACTGTCCTTGGCCTGAGGGAGTGAGGACCTCTATTGCTCGGCCCCCACTGGCTGTGCTCAGCACGTGGAGCCCTGGCGATGCTGAGGCATGCGCTATCCCCCGGCGCCTTACTGCACGGGCCGAGCCCTGACCAGGGAGATGCCAGGCTCCTTCGCTGGGCAGCTCCCCTGGGAGGCTTGCGTGACTAATAGTAGGGGACACTGCTTCCTTGGCATGTCTCTGATCCTTCTAAGCCACCAAAGAGGGGACAACTGGGTAGACATGACAGGCTGCGCATAGGAACTCCGCCAAAGCACAAGAGACAACGAGGTCCTGAGCCATGGCGGGTGCGTGTGTGCTTGTTGTGGGCCCACGGAGACGCGCAGGAATGTCTAGGCTTGTTCTGTACCTCGGTTTCCCTGCCTATGAAATTTAAATAAAACACATCTCGACAGGATTCATGGTGAAAAGCACACCCAAACCCCTTGATTTCAGATGCTGTGTAGGTGTAAGATGTCTTCTTTAATAAATAAAGTTAATGTCATAGAATATTTCAAGATAATGTATTCTCAGATTCTGTTCTTTGCCTTAATTATGTTTCCTGTCACTTTTCATTAAATCGGGAAATTAAAAAAAATCCATTTCAAGGTAAAAGCATAACCAATTCATGTAAAATCTCATAAGAGCAATTACATGATGTAGCTTTCATGAAGAGTAACCACTTCGCATGCTGCTATAGTTTCACTGTCAAAATTAAAAGAAAGCAGTAAATTATCTGACGGCAACTTTGAAAGGCCTGCTCAGTATATATTTACATGTCTGTATTTAACAAGCAGTTTACCCTGTAGAAATGCAAAAAAGAGCATTCTCTTGTCAAGGGAAGAGCTTAAGATTGTCATTTATCGAAAAGTAATTGTTAGTATACAGGGAACTGGGAGTCTTTCTGTTTTGAGGCAATTTAATTTCATAAACAGAAATCTTATCCCCACAAGTTCTGCAGATGCTGGTTTCTAAAATCTGAGCACTCGAAATACAGCGGAGTTTCACTTCCAGACAAGCACTGACCTTAGAAAACGGTGTTTATACCAGGAAGAGAGCAACGCGACCCGCCGCAAGGGGGACATTTCCATGTAAAGTTCCTATCACTCTCCCCCCACCACTCCCCAGGATCCTGAGCAGAGAAGGATGCTGCAGAGCAGATGTGCCAACAGCAGCCCCCTGAGTGGCCCAGGGGCTGGGGACCAAGCCCCCCAGGATACACACTCTGTGCGGAAGCACAGTGGGTACAGGAGGGTGCCCAAGGCAGACCCCGATCTCTACAGGAGCCATCGGCACTGCTCAGAGGACACCCCCACTCCCTTTCAGAGACGGAAGAGGACACGCCCAGACCTGTGGGCAGCTGGCATGAGTTCTAAGCCCAGGCCCTCGGCTCTCTGGGAGAAGCCAGGTGCCCCAGCCAAAACCCTTGCTTTGGGGGCTGATGGGTCTGGGTTTGGATCCTGTCTCCATTGCCATGCGACCCCTGGCGGGTTGTCTAGTCTTTAATGAGCAGCTCCTACATGCCAGACACCGGGCTGTGATTTTAGAGGTATCTCATCTCTCCCTGGCTCTGTGCCTTGAGCACATTACTTAACCTTGCTTTCTAAGGTCTTGTTTTTGTATGTGTACTCTGAGATAATATCTCTTTTATGGAGCTGTTTTGAAGATTTACAAAATTGCTAGCAATCCTTACCCTCCAAGCTCTTAGAATAAAATACCCACCCTTGGGGCACCTGGGTGGCTCAGTCATTAAGCGTCTGCCTTCGGCTCAGGTCATGATCTCAGGGTCCTGGGATCGAGTCCCGCATCAGGTTCCCTGCTCAGTGCAGAGCCTGCTTCTCCCT